ACCCAAGGCTGTGGTCTTTACCAGGCACTGATGCTGGTGTGAGTGTGCTCGTGCACATGTGGCTGTGCTGTGTGCCCCTTCCCATCCCCTCCACCCTGCAGCATGGTCGCTGCTGGACCCTCAGCCTGTGTAACCCATTTTTTTCCAGCTGTGAGATGGGCAGGAAGTATGTTTGATCAGTTTTTCTTGATTTTCTATTAACATTAATGTGAAGTTGTCTGAGTTAAGTAGCTTTATTCCTAAATCTGTGGCACAAAGCAATTTCAGCCTAGTATTTAATCTTCCATCTGTGTTCATTCTCCTAATATTTCATGCTAAGCTTCAGTATTTACTTAGGTCTCAGCCCCTTCCTCTCTGCAAAGTGATGAACTTTTTAATTAGAAGAGACTTGTGTAAGCTGCAGGAAATGGGTTTTTGGTTTTACTGCACCCTGCGATGTGTCTGGAGCAGTGTTGCTGCAGACAAGGCCAGGTTGGATGGGGCTTGAAGCAACTTGGTCTGGTGGAAGTTGTCCCTGCCTGTGGCAGGGGGTTGGAACTTTAAGGTCCCTTCAACACCACATATGGGTGTAGGAAGGTCCCATTTGCAGCCACAGGTACGTGGTCCCCAGGTGAGCGGGTGGCAGAGGGGAAATATCCTTTCAACCTGGGATAGCCCCTTGGCTCGCTCCCCTGGATTTCTGCTCCTTTAGGGAATGTTGTCTTTTCCCTGTGAGGAGAGTTTCTGCCAACACAACTGCAGCCAGATGTGCTACTGGGCTGTGGTCTTAGGAAGGCTGCATGTGGAAGCTGTGGATCTATGGGGAGCGGGATGCTCTCTGGTTGGAAGCTTGCATTGAGCTGAACTGCTCCATGGGAGAGCAGCAGCAGGAGCAGCACCTAGCCAAAAGGCTGTGGGAATAGGATTCAGTTTGCTCTCCTTTGGTTAAAAGCCATTTTTTCCCCTTGCCTATGTGTAAGCCAACATGCAGAGCCAAGCTGTGGATCCTTAAGGGCCAGCTCCTGTCTGGTTGTGCGCTCAATGTGCTGGCTGCACCTCCAGAGACCCGAGTCCTGTTTGTCTTGGATGACTTTGTGCAAATCATGTGGTGGTTCTGTCCCAGTTTCCTGCTTGTCAGTGGGGTTAATGCTTCCGAAAAGGAAACTAAGGTTCACTTAATTGCTGGAGAAGCCCATCACTGCACCAGTTGGCTGTCATAAGTGTGCAAGGTAAAGGCTGCTGACCAGCTGGTGGATACTGCCAGAGTGATGGATAACTTCATTTTACTGCTGCATGCGAAATCTTGGCCATGCTTCACTTGAACAGTGACCTATGATCAACCCTGGTGCTTACACAGCCTGCATCCTGCAGTCGGGTTGTCCTACTTGGTGCGCTTAGTGAGTCACTTGTAATCGCTGTTCATGGATTAACAAGATAAAGCTGTGCAAGCTCTGGTGCCCTTTTCGCTCCTTAATCGGGCACTTTTTAAGGCAAAACTTGAACTCGCAGCTCATTGTGGCTTAGGAAATATTGAGATCCTTGCTGCTGAAGGAGAAGCTTCAGCATCCTTGGGGCTGCGACTCCCAGGTCCCTGGCTGGAGAGGAGGGTTCTGCCTAGGAGCCACTGGATGGAAAACCTGGTTGGCAGGCTTCATGTGGCTGTGAGATGGAGATGTCTGAACTGCTGGGGAGGGCAAACCAAAGCTGTCCCATGCCAGCTGAGTAGGAAACCATGCGTTTTGCAGCTCTGCGTCCTCAACTGCCCCTGCTCTCCCTGTGGCACAGGCTGGGTGAAAGAGGACGTTGCCTTCTCTTGATAGAGCCATCTGCTCTTGTCTGAGGAGCTGTGCTGGATGAGTTGGTAAGAGAAAACCTTTCCCATGGGTGCATCATGCCAGGTGATCTGCCAAGCTGCAGCACAGATCAATGCTGCTTGTTCTGCTACTCGTTTGCTCATGTGTGCATACAGTGTTCTATCAAGGAGGGAATGCGTGCTCTCTCTGTCAGTGAAATGAATAAGGCATGCCTGGTGAACAGGGAGTAGCTTGTGTGGGCAGAAATGATGGAGCTGGAGAGAGGCAATTAATCTGTCTGACCCATCCTGCTGCTTCTCTTTGGCTCTAGGAGAATGGCTTATTGAATTTTATTATTTAATAATTAAGTTGCAGTAGTAGCAGAGGACGAGGCTAGAAAATAGCAGAGGGGAAAAAAGAGGATTTCATTCTATAAATTGATGGCCTGATCTCTTGCGAGCTGTCACGTACCCACAGCAAAAATGAGCACTGTGAAATCACAGGGACACTGAAACCAGCTGGGGACCAAGAAAAACACTTGTAGGATGAGGTGGAAGAGGGTGGGAGTTTATCTGAGAAAAGAAACGGAGATGCACACATGATGCATCACATGTGCCGGGGTGCTTTTGTTCTCCCCAAGTGTAAGGTGCAGGCAAGCAAGGAACAGCGTTAACAGCAAACCCACCGGCTCCTCGTGGGATGTGCTCATGCGGGGTCGGGGTGCCTGTGTTTATGGGACCTGCAGCTTGAGGTGGTTTGTACATTATTAACTCACCTCCTGAGAGACTTCTGTAAACTTCTAGCTCTTAGAAAACATTGAGGAACAGCCCCAAAGAGCCTTCTAATTGAAGAGGTTCCATTCCCTACAGCGAGATGCCACCTGTACGTGGCTGTCAGGCTCACCTTTAAATCCAAGGCATGGCAGCTCTGTGCTCAGGCTTTGGTGTCCAGATCCCATCGGGTTTGTAAACAGGATTGAGCTGTTGTGCTCCGCCTGACAAAGGATGCGCGCAGGCATCGCGTGCCAGCGTCGAGGCTTTGATGCAGGGATGGGATGAGCTGCTCCCCGCAGCCAGGGAGCTGGAGCTGCAGCAGTTACGTGCAGCACTGGAGCCCGTGAGCCCCTTCCCATCCTGGCTCTGCTCTCTGGGTGAACATCTCCCCATGGCCTCCAGCTGCTGGAAGAAGGCGGGTTCTGAGCCCTGGCTCTTGAACCCCTTGGGTCACAGCTGCAGAGCTGGGAGGAAATGCTCAAGTGTTCGGGGAATCGTAGAACCCCAGCCTGGTTTGGGTTGAAGGGACCTTAAAGCTCCTCCAGCTCCAACCCCTGCCACAGGCAGGGACCCCTTCCACTGGAGCAGCTTGCTCCAAGCCCCTGTGTCCAACCTGGCCTTGAACACTGCCAGGGATGGGGCAGCCACAGCTTCCCTGGGCACCTTCTGCCAGCGCCTCAGCACCCTCACAGGGAAGAACTTGTGCTTAATGTCTAATCCAGATCAACCTCCGATACAGGGAAGTCTCTGTTTGTTACTTGGGCATGGCTGGAATGGGCCTGAGGAGCCCAGATCTGCTTCCCACAGGCTTTGCTTGCATTGGGTGACAACAGCACAGGATCTTGTCCGGCAAAAGCAGGGTGTTTTTGTTGTGTCTCTTATGGATGGAAAGGAAAAGTCTCTGCTGTGTGTGGTTGCTCTCAGCTCTGCCAGGCTGCTGTCTGTCATGTGCTGGCAGCCAGGCGATGAAGGGACCATTGGGAGTACAAACCTCAGCCATGGTGCTGCGGTCCCTCCCCGTGTATGATTGCACTGAGTTCCAAGGGCTCTGCGGTAGGTGGAATAACCTCCCCTTAAATGCTCCCATCTCAAGCAAGGATCCTCTCTGCCCCGTGCTGAGCCTGGTGCTTTGTCCTCAGCTCACAGCTGTAGCTGCCAGTTTTATATCATGCTAAAAATTAATGAACCAGAGTGCACCAGCATCATCTGCTTGGAAGGAAGAGTCTCAGCAGCCAGCTCCTTAAAGATGATAAGAGAGGGACTGTGCAAGCGGAGCTGCTCATCGAGGAGCTTTACAAGTGATTAAGTTTAAGCATCCTGGGAGCTGATGAAGGGGTAGGAGACAGCAGCATCACAGCAAGAGGATGCAGAAGCCAAGCAAAACACAAGATCCCGCTGAGCCAAACTCCAGTCCCTGGCGCTGGGGCCACCAGCGACGCCAGGCGCACACGCAAAAAAGGCTGTTCCCTTTTCAGATGTTTTAAGGTCAAACTGAAGCTGTTGCCAGCTCCTTTATGGAGCTTTACAGCCTTTTTTTGTTGGGTTTGTAAAGTGGCAAGTCTTTCATGCAGCTTCTGGGTGTCCTAGCAGGGGGATTGCTTGGAGGCTGCATGCTACTTGTAGTGAAGATCAAGCAAACCCTTGTCCGGTGTGCGAGTTGTTTGTCTATCCAAGATGCTTTTCAAAGGGAAGCTTGGGTCTGCCCTGTTAAAGCAGCTTGATCCTACTGCTGGTTAACTCCAGCACGTACCCGGGTGCCCACGGTGACTGTGAATGATGCACAGTGGTAAAGCTGTAGCTGCTGCTGACATGGCCTTGTGACTTGGGTTTGTGTATGGAGCTCTGGTGAGGGATGAGGTCTCCAAGTTCTCCCTTTTCAATATTCCTCTCCTTTTGGGGTTGTTGCTGAGTCTTGCTATGGCTCCCGTGTCATTTCTGCTTTGCTCACCTGACACTTAAACCCAGAGCCGTGTGTTTTCCATATCCCCCATCTTTCTGCAGCTACCTCATCCTCCAGAGCCTCCAGCTCCTTCCATGCCTTGCTCCAGCTGACAGCTGATCATTCCTCCAGCCTGGAAGCCAGTGCAGAGCAGCAGCATCCAAACGTCCCTTCTGGATCAAACCAAAGGCACATCTCTCTTGGTGCCAGGGTCATGCAGGACTGAAGGCAAGGAGCTTGGAGGCTTGTATTTACTGGCCAGTGGTAGGTAAAGGACGTACAAGTGTACAGGGAAATGGAGTCATCAAACGTGTCCCGAATTCACCTTGTGGTGCTCTTCCTTGTCCCATTGGCAGTGCTCAAGGCCAGGTTGGACACATGGGCTTGGAGCAAGCTGCTCCAGTGGAAGGGGTCCCTGTCAGTGGCAGGGGTTGGAGCTGGATGAGCTTTAAGCTCCCTTCCAACCCAAACCAATCTGGGATCCCATGATTCCTATAACTCTCTTTGTCTTTTCAGCTTGCCTCCCTGGATTCTACAAGCTTTCCCCCCATCTCCCTCTCTGCTCTCCCTGCCCTGAGCACAGCTTTACACATGAGGAAGCCTCCACCTTCTGTTCGTGCCAGAAGAACTACTCCAGGTCTCCGTCAGACCCCCCCTCTGCCTCCTGCACACGTAGGTCTCGCTGCAACATCTCCTTGGAAAGCAAGGAAATAGGGATCCAGACTGTCCTGCAGCACAGAGCCAGGGGATGCCCGGGATGTTGTCTGAGGCCCCATGCATGGGAGCTTCACCTGGGTACAGGGGGTCCTGTCTGCGCTGTGGTACTGCTGCAGCAGGGAGGGGATGTGGGGTCTGTCCCTGTGCCATGCAGCTCGCAGGCTGGTGAGACAGACGTGAGGTCGGGCTTGTAGGCTCCCCAGTAAAACTCGAGCACAGTCATTTAGTCAATAGAGTTGACAGCTTTTAATTAAATGGCCTCTAGTTAATTGGATTGGACTCCAGCTTCTCCAGTGATGGATGCTCTCCAATGATGAGAAACCCTCCTGCTCTGCCCACGAGTGTCTGATGGGTGGTGGGGTCCCTGCTGCTGAGCCCCAAGGCACTGCTGGGTGCTGCGTGAGCCTTGCCTTGCTATGCAGGCACATTCCTCCGGTGGGAATCCTCCCTTTGGTGTCCCCACCGTGCTGCACCCATCAATGCATCCACATCCCTTTGTGCTCCCTAAGACCACGTGCTCTTGCCGTACCACCAGCACCTGTGCTGCTGCTCCCATAGGTTTGCCCTTCCCCCTGGGTAGCACTGATGATGCTGTATGACCTGTGATGCTCTTCTGCTTCCAGGCCCTCCCTCCGCCCCGAGGAACCTGGTCTACAGCCTGCGGCAGTCATCCCTGGTGCTGGAATGGAGCGCTCCGGCGGATGCGGGCGGCCGGAGCGACCTCACCTACAGCCTGTGGTGCGTGCGGTGCCCCACGGCTCCGCGGGGCCGCTGCGAGCAGTGCGGCAGCAGCGTGGGCTTCGTGCCGCAGCAGACGGGGCTGGTGGAGCGCACCGTGACCCTCGTCAACCTCCTGCCCCACGTCAACTACACCATCCGCGTGGCCGCCCTCAACGGCGTCTCCGGCCTCAGCCCGCAGTACGCGGAGGTCAACGTCTCCACCGGCCTCGCAGGTACGGGGGGGACCCATGAGGGTGGTTGTGCAGGGGAGGGTCAGGGTGGGTGTAAGGGAGAAGCTCTTCCCTGTGAGGGTGCTGAGGCGCTGGCACAGGGTGCCCAGAGGAGCTGTGGACCCTGTGCTGTCCGTGTAACGCCATCAGTAAACTGCAGTAGGTTCGAGTCTGCTTTCGGGAAGGGACAGGCAGCGCTGCTGTTGTTAAAAACAAGAGGTTAAAGTCAGCATAGGGAATGGTTTGGGTTGGAAGGGAGCTTAAAGCTCATCCAGCTCCAACTCCTGCCATGGGCAGGGACCCCTTCCACTGGAGCAGCTTGCTCCAAGCCCCTGTGTCCAACCTGGCCTTGGACACTGCCAGGGATGGGGCAGCCACAGCTTCTCTGGGCACCCTGTGCCAGCGCCTCAGCACCCTCACAGGGAAGAGCTTCTGCCTAAGAGCTCATCTCAGTCTCCCCTGGGGCAGGTTAAAGCCGTTCCCCTTGGCCTGGCCCTACAGGCCCTTGTCAAATTGATTTAATCTTTCTCTTCTGCCCTGGTCTGTGGCGGTTTTGTGCTCTTCCACCTCACATCACGTTTCCGTTCCCTTATGTGAGGGGCAGCAAGTACCCAGCCCTGCCCTGGGTGGCCAGAGGGGCTTGATCCCTCCTCAGCTGTCAGTTGTGCCTAAGGAGAACCAGCTCTGCCTTATGTCCTTGTCTGTTCCTCTGTGGTTACGCTATGAATTTGCATGAACCCCCTTTGCCAAGCCACAGTTAATGGAGATGGATGATCCCCACGTACCTCCTGGCAGGAATTGGCCAACAATTTCATCTGACGAGATTAAACTTTGATCTTGTTATAACTAATTTTCCCACCACTTGATCAAGTGTTTGTGCACATGGTGCTGCTTTCCCTTCCCTCCTGTAATGGTTCCTGCGCATCCGTGGGGTGGATGCTGTGCTGCAGACTGCTCTCCGGTGGAGGTGTCGCTCCTCATTAGGATCTCTGCTGTTCAAGGATGGATTTAGCTCTGGGAAGATCTTGTGTCTCCTGAGCTCAGGCTATTCCTGAGCTCGGGAAGGGTGAGCTTGACAAGGTCTAATAATGAGCCATTCATCCAGAGGCTTCCTCCTGGTGTCAGGCAGAGGGAAGAGGGATTGAAGCTGCCTCCTCACCTGCAGCATCAGGTCTGAGCTGGGGACAAGAGGCTGGGTAAGGGCATTGAGTGCCGTGTGCTTTGTAGGGAGTGAAGCAACCGCTCCATCACAGCAACGTGTGCCTTAGCTGTTTGTTCAGAACAGCTTTTCTTCGGGGTAAGTGGGAATCTCAGCCCCTCACTCGAGGCTGCATACTCCTGAAGGAGCTGAAATGCGCGTGAAGAATATGGCATAATTAATCTTGTGAAGTGCTCGGAATCAATGTCTCTTGTGGAGCTGTCGAGTCTCCGGATGCAGATGGTGGCTCACAATTAGCCAAGCAGCTGAGGCTCAGGAAGCTTCTTAGAACACTTCAATCTTGTGCTGCTGAAGGTGTGCCCTCCTGAGACAGCGCCAGGCTGCCCTGGTACCCGGTTGCTCTCCTTTGGCACTGTGGGCATGAAGTGACAGTGATGATGAACCTGCACCCGTGGGCAAAGAGGGGGAGCTGCTCGGAGAAAGGGAAGACTTCAGAGGTGTCACAAGCAGTGGTGACTTCCTTGGTGACTGCGATGCGATGCTCTCAGAAGTCATTTACAGCAGCAGGGAAGCTGCAGCTTCAGAGGAAAAATCAAACAAAGAAACAAGACCCTATTTAGCTGTCAGATCTCTGCTCCTCTAAATATAGCTCCGAATGCAGCTTTCGCACTGCCCTTCCCCTTCAGCAGTCACAAGGGGGAATTAGCAGTTGTTCGTTGTATTTGCAGGGGAAAAGAAAAGATGCTCTTTAGTCTGCAGGAGGCCAAATTAATACTGTGTTTTTTCTAATCGGGCCCCAGCATGGGACTAAATAAAAGTGTTTGAGGAGAGAAGGGAGCTGTTTACCTGCAGGAGTGGAGCTGCATTAGCTATGTAAATGCCTGCTCTGGGACGATGTCATTTATATTCCCGGCAGGGATCAGCTCCGATCTTAGAGGGCTTTTAAATCTGTTGCAGATTAATAATGCAGCCGGGGCTGAAATGCATTCTCCTCTCTGAGACTGTGGAGAAGTGGTTTGTGCTGAATGAAGTCTCGTGGAGTTCTCTGCCTATGCAGCCCAGCCCCAGCAAGAGCGGGCAATGGGTCTGCAGGATGAGGGGCTGGGCTTGTGGGGTCTTTGCCATCCATGCAGCAAGATCCACCCCTGGAAGAGCTTCATAGGAGCTGATGAGGCTGCTTTTTTCAGTTTGGAAAGAAGGATCCTGGGGCAGGAGTTGCTTGGGGCAGTGGCCAATGCGTTTGCTGTGCTGGGGAGGATGCTGGTTGTCCCCAGTGCTGCGCTGCAGGGTGGCAGGGATGCTCAGGGTGATGGCAAGCTCTGTCCATCTGATGGATGCTCACCCCATACGGGGACCAGCAGACAGCACCAGAGGATGGGCTGTGTCTGCTCCTGTTTGCTGTGTGTCTGCTCTGCTGCCCTGGCAATGGAAAGGTGCAGAGAGAGCGTTCCTGGGGCTGGGTGGGCACCAAAGAAGCTCTTCCTGCTGCAGGCACTCTTGGTTCTGCTTCATCTCAGAGAGGAACGGTGCTTGCAGTTGTCCCTCTTTGGGTTTTGGATGCAATGGGTTGTTCATTGGAGGGACACGCTGCCCAACCCTGGTTTTACTCCTTTTCTGCCAGTAGACTGGTTAATTAAGAGGACTAAACCCACATCCAGCTGAAGGGAGTGTATGAAATGAGGCACAGTGCTGAATAATTTAATGTTTGCTTTTTCAGAATAGAGGCAATGTTGGGGGAGCTTAAAATATTGATGGGGAACACGCTGGTTTTTTTCACAGTGTGAAATGCTTTATGGTCTGTGTGATTTTCTTTAATACCTTTTAGACATGTTTGAGGCTAGTGCCTGCTTTTCTGGCATGTACCATGGGCTCTGCTCTGCAGCCCATCACCGAGTGGGATTATTCCTGATGACTTTGCTAACAGTCAGGACCACTTGTTGGGGTGTTTTCAGTCTGTTTGGTAGATTCAGAGATACAGGAGGGCATGTGTGTGATGATTTATTGATGGGAATCATATAAACCAGCAAGGAGCACTTAACTTACTTTACAAGGAGCAAAACCCAAGTGGAGTGTTGGGCTGATCTCAGCTGCCCCTATCACTTGTTGTTCCATACAACACGCAGGGATGTGCACTCATGCAGAGGCCAAGGGCTCGTGGTGGGGATTACCCTGCTGTCCAGTGACGAGCCGTGAGCGTGCTGTAGGTTCCTGTTTGTGCACATGGGGTCAGCGTGTGTGTCTGCAAGGCTCCACTCCAACAGCAACAGCCTGGACCAGCCTAAACCTGGCTCTGGTGAAGTGGAAACCAGGAGCAGCTTGCAGGGTTTGGAGCCAAAGTGGGGCACGTTCAGCCATGCTCATTATGGGCGTTTGAAGAGCCACAGGAGGACATGGAGCTTCCTGCTGGTACCAAGCTCACACGAGCGCAGGGGGCTCCTGGCTGCTCTTTCAGCAGCAGCCAAAGGGACCTGGAATCAACAAGCAAATCATCATGAATAAAACATCAGGAGGACCTTTTTTCTTCAGCAGAGATTAATGAGCTAAGTAACAACCACAGCATTTCACGGACACTTAGGGTGACTTTCCAGGGACTCCATAGGAATCTTTTGGGGATGCTGAGGGTCCAGCAAACACCCTGATTTTTGCAGGAGAAGCAGGACAAGGCAGAAATAGCTGATTTCCCCGTGCAGCTGTCATTGTGCTTGTGCAGGGTCGCTGCAGCTTGCTCACCCGGGTGTGCTCTGGTCCATGATGCTTACCAGGGTGATGCAGGGAGGACCGTGGCTTCCAGCCATGTCCAGGCTGATGCTGTGAAGGGCACGTTGGGCAGCCCAGAGCCATGCATTTGAGAGGCTTTTGTGCCATTTCCCATTTCCTCCTCACCCTGAGAGGAGACTTTCTGCCACCCAACCAGGACTGCTTCTGGCACTGCCCTGGGAGAGCTGTGAAGACCTCACCTGATGTGTTCAGCCCCTGGGGAGCTCAGTTTTTCCAATGAATCCTAATTTCCTCACTAATGAATCTGAAGCAGAGCAAAAGCCTCCAGTAGAACCCTTATTATAGTACCAGATATTTCATTTCCCTAGCACACAGCAGCCCCTTCCTCCCTGCTCTTGCTGGTGGATGCCCTGGCTATGGGCAGATGATCACATCTGAGCTGCTGCTGCCTTGCTCTGGAAAGGTAAGGGATGCTGTGTCCTTGGCTGGCTCCTGAGCTGCTGCAGACAGTCTGACAGGTCCAGCTGGCTCTCTGCTGGTGCAGGAAGGGAAAGACTTGGGGAAGAGCAGCCGGGATGCTGCCAGCAGGCAGGGATGCTGCTGCTGTACGGGCACTGAGCACAGCTCAATGGCTTGGAGACAGGAGAAGGTGGTCAGAGGAGGAGACAGCATGGAGAAGGCTCTGGGAATGTGGAGATGAGTGCAGCAAAGGCATCAGCATCCGGCACAGAGCCTGTGGATAGCCGGGGACAGCGAGCTGCCGTGCCAGGGAAATCAGCCTGTTTGGTGCCAAAGCTGGTTAACATGGGAAGAGCTGCCGAGCGCATCCCGCATAGTGAGAGGAACTAAACGGGAGCGCAGGTGCCAAAGCACACTCCTGCTCAAAGAGGTTGTGCTTCCCAGAAGTCCTTTGCAGCAGGTTTGGAGCGCTGCATGCTTGCTGGTGCTCGGACCCCTCTGCAGCACCACAGGTGGAGGATTTCAGGATTTTAAAGGTTTTTTTTTTGCCTGGTTTTGGTCCAAGCATCGCCAGCTGCCCACAGGTTACAAAGCTGCTGTGTTTTACCACTGTTTTCTCCCATTGTACAATCATCACCTTAGAATTTGCCCTGTTTCGGTCCTGGTTCAGAGCGTGGCAACTGGCGTCTGCAGCAGGAGCACCACTCTTCAGCTGTTTAAATTGCTGAAGTTTCCACTGTGGCATCCCTGGGCAGAGGCAGGAAGTTACCAAAACTGAACACATTTGGGCTGACGTGGGGCTTGCAGCCCAGGTGAATGCCCCATCCCTGGCAGTGTTCAAGGCCAGGCTGAACACAGGGGCTTGGAGCAAGCTGCTCCAGTGGAAGGGGTCCCTTCGCTTGGATGCAGGGGGATTTGGGGGCTGCTGGAGCAGGAGGGGAGCTCACCCCCTGCTTTCCTCTCTGCTTTCCTCAGCATCAAATCCTATCACTGGCATCCGCACAGATAAAGTGGAGCAGAAGAGCATCTCCTTGTCATGGCAGGAGCCGGGCCTCCCGACCACAAACGGCACCGAGTACGAGGTCAAGTACTACGAGAAGGTAGGCTCTGGGGAATGGCTTTGGGGAATGGCTGTGGGGAATGGCTGTGGGGAATGGCTCTGGGGAATGGCCGTGGGGAATGGCTCTGGGGAATGGCTTTGGGGAATGGCTGTGGGGAATGGCTGTGGGGAATGGCTTTGGGGAATGGCTGTGGGGAATGGCTGTGGGGAATGGCTTTGGGGAATGGCTGTGGGGAATGGCTGTGGGGAATGGCTGTGGGGAATGGCTGTGGGGAATGGCTCTGGGGAATGGCTGTGGGGAATGGCTGTGGGGAATGGCTGTGGGGAATGGCTGTGGGGAATGGCTCTGGGGAATGGTTTTGGGGAATGGCTCTGGGGAATGGCTTTGGGGAATGGCTGTGGGGAATGGCTTTGGGGAATGGCTCTGGGGAATGGCTGTGGGGAATGGCTGTGGGGAATGGCTGTGGGGAATGGCTGTGGGGAATGGCTGTGGGGAATGGCCGTGGGGAATGGCTCTGGGGAATGGCTGTGGGGAATGGCTGTGGGGAATGGCTTTGGGGAATGGTTTTGGGGAATGGCTGTGGGGAATGGCTCTGGGGAATGGCTTTGGGGAATGGCTCTGGGGAATGGCTTTGGGGAATGGCTGTGGGGAATGGCTCCATCTCTGGGGAGGGACTCTTCATTAGGGACTGCAGTGACAGGACAAGGGGTAAGGGGTTAAAACTTAAACAGGGGAAGTTTAGGTTGGATCTAAGGAGGAAATTCTTTCCTGTGAGGGTGGTGAGGCACTGGAATGGGTTGCCCAGGGAGGTTGTGAATGCTCCATCCCTGTCAGTGTTCAAGGCCAGGTTGGACAGAGCCTTGGGTGAGATGGTTCAGTGTGAGGTGTCCCTGCCCATGGCAGGGGGGTTGGAACTGGGTGATCTTAAGGTCCTTTCCAACCCTGATTATTCTATGATTCTGTGATTCTATGCCCCAGCCAGCTCCATGTGCTTCCCTTGACAGTCTGCCCCTGACCATCTCTTAATTTTAAGCCCAGCTTTTATTTGACAGGGGGTGAGATTTTGAGAGGAAAAAGCAGCGGGCAGAGAGCAGGGACAATGCTCTAAATCCAAATAAATGCAGTTTATGAGGCAGTTCCACAAATTACCTTATCTGCGTGTGCTCAGGCTCATTATGGAACTGATTGCATGTCAAGCAAACCGCGCAGGTGACATGGTGACGTTCTGTATTTAGAAACAAGCTACCGTGAAGCTGATTCATATTAATGTGATTTTCAGCCTCTGGTAGATTTGAAAGGAGAAATCAGTGTGAGAGGGCGAAGGCTGAAGCCCGAGATGGTAATTCCTGTGCAAATGGGCTGCAGCAACAAGATGCTCAGGGGATGTGAAATGAGGAAACATCCTGCTTGGGCAGGGAATTTGAACTGGTTTAGTAATTATTGACTGCAGTGAGGCTCTTGATGCTGACACGAAAATCAACTTAGTTCCTAATCCTTGCTTTTAAAGCTGTATTTGAACTGTGGAGATTCAAGGGGGAAAGCGTATCAAATGGCAAATACATTCCACAGTGGTGTCCCTGGGTTGCTGCACTGGGATGCTCCTTGGGACCGATCCCTTGTGTAAGGAAGGCGCAGCACACACATGTGGGATCTGAGGGAGGCTGATGCTGGGGCAGCAGGACACAGCCCAGCCCTGCTCTCAGTGGGAAGTAGCAGCAGATAACCTGGTCCAAGTCTCGTCTTCTCACTGGGGAGCTTGGTCAATGGTACCCGACATGGCTGAGAGAATGATCTCTAATGGTGGCTGCACAGAACCACGGGAAGCTTTGTGGGAGCCATTGGAGCTTGGTTTGCTTTGCAAACCCACCTGCCAGCTTTAATTACTCAGTGTCTGCTGATACAGGGGTATTTACACCAGGGCTCGAGTGGCTGTAGCAAGGGAGCAGGAAAGGACCAGAAAGTACCAGCATCCTGTCCTCTGCCTGTTTCCATAGCACATCACCAGGCTCCGTCTGCTATTTCGTGTGACCTTTCCATGTAATTCCTATTAATGAGACATCCAGCAAATGTATTCTTTCCTTTGAAAGCTTTCTGTTTAGATAGAGTGTCCCCATGGGACCCAGAGGCGAGGGGAAGATCCAGCGGTGCTGTGCCTGCACCGGGGCACAGCCGTCAGTCCAGCTCCGTCTCAGGTATCTCGTTATTTCACAGGATCAGAGAGATCAGAGCTACTCAACTGTGAAGACCACATCGACGGCCGTGACGGTCAACAACCTGAAGCCTGGCACCCTCTATATTTTCCAAATCCGGACATCCTCCTCTCCGGATTATGGGAACTACAACCCCAGCATCGAGGTGGAGACGCTGGCAGAGTGTAAGTGCTGGTACCTGAGACATGAGGGAGGCTCTTTGAGCTGAGCCGTGGGGATGCTGCTGCTCCCTGCTCCTGCCCCACATGCTCTTGGTTTCCTGGAGCCTCTGGCTCCTCTGCTCTGGGTCTAAGGGGATGCACTTCCCAGGGATTGCTTTTAGTTGCATTTCCTATATGATTCTGAGCCCTGCCTCTGCTCTGTCTGTCCTGGAGGAGTTTGTCCTTGCTCTTCTCAGTGCATCAGTGACCTGGGCACAGAGTCTCTGCTCCTTGACTGAGGTTGCCCAAGGAAGTGCTCAGCAGAGGCAGTGACCGGGTGCTGGTTTGCCTTGGTGTGATGTTGGTGCTGGAACAGATCTCACCAGGTCCCTTTTGTGGTGCCACCAAACAGGCACTGGAAGGGCGTGAGTGTTGGTCCCCGATGGTGTACATGCTGAAGGCACAATCCTGCCTGGAGATGCAGCTGGTCTTGGATGCATGCCCCACATAGGCGGTGACTGCTTTACCCCCACTGCCATCCTGGCTCATGAGGCACTCGGCTTGTTAGCTGTTTGGCTGCCTCAGGTCAGCCAGCATCAGTGTTATCTGCTGGGGCTTTTCCTTTTCACAGTTTCCATTCATAACTATAGTCCAGAAGCATCTTATTTCACTGATTTAAAAGAGGGCTTGGAGAGACAGTTGGACTTCAGCTTAATAACCCACCCTGGCTAGAAATGAAAGCCCTGAGATGGCTGGCTCAGTACGACTCTCACAGATTGTGTTTAACAGGGCTTTAAATTGCATCCATTTGCCACACAGAAGACATTTGCAGAATGAATTGGAACCAATAAAAGTTTTATATAGAATGTAGCTTTCTAATACCCCTGTTTGCAAAAGCAGGAAGGGAAGGGATTAATGTGATGAAGGAAAACTATTTGTAAGCTATAAATTTTAATATGTCCCTCTGATAAAGGGGAGCCTTTCCTCAGTGCTGATTAACAGGACCAGGAGCTTGGTGTGTGGCATCTCTGGGGCTGCTCCATCTGTGCCTGCAGCACTGCCCTGCACATTGGTCTCACTGCATCGGCTCAAGCGCAGTAAAACTGCACCAGAATGGGGATTGTGAGGATGGGGAAAAGCAGCTCGGTGTTAAGGGTGGCTTGTCCCATCCTTGCTGGAGGATGCGGTCGGCACTGGGAGGAGCAGCCAGGGCTGCCCCATTGCCCTCCTGGGGTGCATTGCTGACCACCTCTGCGTCCCTCCCGCAGTGTCGGTGGCCTCCAGCGAGCAGAACCCTGTCCTCATCATCGTGGTGGTGGCCATCGCGGGGCTGACGGTGCTGGTGTCCATGGTGATCGGCACCATGGTCTGGAGGAGGTGAGCGGGGCTGGGGCATGGACCGAGGAGGACCAAAGCCAAGTTGCCCTGCAGCAGGGCTCTTGGGAGCATGGGGCGGTGCTGGCTCTAAGCATGGGAGCTGGGTTGAGCCTGCTGGGGCTCAGTGTTCCTGAGCAATGGGACTTGAGGCTCTCATAGCCAGCGAGAGGCTGCTGCCCGTGCAGCAGTGTGCATCTTCGTTCTCATTGCAGACAGTGTGGATACAGCAAAGCCAGCCAGGACGGGGACGAGGAGCTGTACTTCCATTGTAAGTGAAGCCTGGCCACCATGGCTGGTATGACTGCGTGGGCATCCCTGCATTTATTGCTATTAATAACCCAGCTTCCAACAAAGCAGCCCCGAGTCCTTCCTTTTGAAGGGTTGTCATCCTGCATTATCCCAGAGCAGGGGCTCAGCACAGTGAGGCTCCCTGGGGACAGCAGGCTTGGCAGCTTCCTAAGCCAGGGTCCATCCTTCCTGCACCCGGGTCGCTGCTGTGCCAAAGGAAATGGGGATGCTTCAGCTTCCCATGGGGTGTGTGAATCATTCTGTCAGCTTCCCCCAAACGGCTGCATGAGAGCACAGCTTTTGTTTTCTGGGGCTACTCTTGATTATTGAGCATCAGTAATTAGACAGACAGCAGCCGTCAAAGGAAATTCAGATATCAGGATTGATGAGTTTATCTGATTCCTGGCATATGCCCATGAAGCGTACACATGCTCTTGTGCTCCCCGAAGCATTTCAGATGCAGCAGAGCCTGCGTGCTGCTTGGATTCAGCTTGGCTGCTTCATAGCATCCCAGACTGCTTTGGGTTGGAAGGGACCTTAAAGCTCCTCCAGTTCCAACCCCTGCCACAGGCAGGGACACCTTCCACTGGAGCAGCTTGCTCCAAGCCCCTGTGTCCAACCTGGCCTTGAGCACTGCCAGGGATGGGGCAGCCACAGCTTCTCTGGGCACCCTGTGCCAGCGCCTCAGCACCCTCACAGGGAAGAGCTTCTGCCTAAGAGCTCATCTCAGTCTCCCCTGGGGCAGGTTAAAGCCGTTCCCCTTGGCCTGTCCCTTTGCAAGCTCTCCTGGAAGCAGGTCAGCCTCCAGCCACACTCATGTCCTGGACGTGCTCCTGGTGCAGGATCGCTGCCCCTGCAGCGGGTGGTAGACACCTGTGGGAGGTATTTTGCTGCCCGTGCTGCTAATGAAGGGGACCTGGAGCATGGGTGGTTGGGATTATAATCATTTCTCTTGGGAATGGAGATGATTTGGATACCTGAGGATTAGCATGAGTGGCTCGGTCAAGGAGAGAGCTGCGCTAGGGTGAAGGAGCTGCTCGCCTTTAACTCAGGGGTTGTGGCACTGCAGCAGAGCAATGAGTTCCATTTAATCCCACAAGAAATCTCCTAGCAGCCTGAAATCGGAGTCTTTTGCTTTACTGACAAAAAGGTGGCAATAACCTGGTTAACGATGGGTAACGTGGGAGAGCAGGCTGAGCCCTTCTCATGCACCTTTCTGCCTTCCCTGCAGTTAAAATACCAACCAGGAGGATGTACATCGACCCTGACACTTGTGAAGACCCCATGCAGGCCGTGCACCTCTTTGCCAAAGAGCTGGATAACGCTAGTATTAAAATTGAGAGGATCATTGGGACAGGCAAGTTCCTTGCTGCATCTCCTCATGCTCTGGCACCGCGGGCATTGCTCTCGTAGGTGCTTGCAGCAGGGAGATGGGAGTGTGGTGCTCAGGAGCTTGATTTTTGCATCCCTGTTTGTTTTTCCGAGGCACTAAGCACAGGCAGGGGGTTTGGAGCAGAAAGCATCAGCAGTTATCCGCATCTGGGCACTGTGACAGCAGCATGAGGACTGTTTATGAATACATGAACCTAATGATTTATTGATCTTCATCAGCTTTGCTGCCTGAAACTTAAAAGCAAGTTAACATCCCCTCGGTGGGCCCTAGAGCCCTCCTCACTAATGTGAGCCAGGACATGGGAAACGTGAGGATCCTTGGCCTAAAGACAAAATCAGCTGCAGAAGAAGAGGTGGAGGAAAGGAAGAGGGAAGGGCTTTGCCCACCAGCTTGAAGGGCAGGGTTGAAGGGAGGAGGGCACGCAGGAGAAGAGGAGGTTGTCTCTGTAGCTGCTGAGCGGAGCAGCTGAGAGGAATCCCACATCCCTTTGAGAAGCGAATCGGTGTTTGAAAGATCAAGGAGGAAAATTAGCCAGGAAGACATTTCCATGGAAGGAGTTTGGGAGTGCTTTTGTCTCGTGTCTGACCTAAAAAGTACCTGGCTTTTAGATCAGGGAAGCTTTTCTTAGCTACACATTTTGCTATAAAGCCAATATTGGCCTTTTATGTTATGAATTTGGTTATGTTATGAATAGCTCCATTGTCAAGTGCGTGGCTGTGCAGAGTGGGATGTTCTGCCTCATAGAATCATCCCAGCATCCCAGCCTGGTTTGTGTTGAAAGGACCTTAAAGCTCATCCAGTTCCAACCCCTGCCATGGGCACTTGAGCAGAGGTGGAGAGAATGGCTTAGAGGTGTAGGAAGAGGAAGAAGCAGCTGCGTTGCATTATCGCAGGTTTTTAGCATCACATGCTGGTGCTAAACTCGTGTGAAGGGTTCTGTGTTCAGCAAAGGTGGGGGAAGATGTTAAAACAGGCTCTGTGGGGGAAACTTGCAGCCACGCAGGGCTCTGGGTGTTTGAGTTTATGGATTGGCAAATCCTGTGATGAACAATGGGGAAGTCTTGCTTGCTGACACAGCAAGACACATCACTTGTGCCCTGCAGGAACACGTTTTATGCTTCCAAAGGAAGGGAAATGTTCCCTAAAGGGAGCTGGCTTCCAAGAGGAGGACTGCTGCCCTTTGCTTTGTGGCAGGTATATGTATAAGCTGTCTTTATAACGCATTGCAACAGCTCAGTACAACACCACCCTCACGCAATGCTACCACGAGAGGAAGCTGTGAAGTAAAACGAGGAGGTTGCTCCTTCTTTCCCAGCCTGGAACTGGCCGAGGGCAGTGTGACAGCCCGTGATGGAGTGGTGCGACCGCGATTGCAGGGGCAGGCGCGTGCTGGCGGGCAGGGACGTGGGGCCCTGGATGCCGTTAACCCATCTCTGTGCTGCGCAGGGGAGTTTGGAGAGGTCTGCCGGGGGTGCCTGAAGCTGCCCAGCAAGCGGGAGCTGCCAGTGGCCATCCAGACCCTGCGGGCAGGGTGCTCGGAGAAGCAGCAGCGTTCCTTCCTGGCAGAGGCGTGCACCATGGGCCAGTTCGATCACTCCAACGTCATCCGCCTGGAGGGGGTCATCACCCGAGGTGAGGGGGGGACACGGGCTCTAGGACACTCTATGATGCTGTGCAGGCGGTGTGCTGAAGCTGTTGCTTTGGAGCGGTACTGTTGGCTCTAGAAATGAGGGGCTTTTCCTCCTGTATTCGCTGGTTTAGCGTTCTGCTGAGTAATAAAATGCTCCTGGCTAGATTAATACGTCCAAGGAGTGGGGCTGGCTTAAGAGCAAAACTGTGCACTCTTAATAAAAGCAAATTGAAGTGAGGTTCTGTCAGTAAAACGGATGACTCTGCTCCCGGCTCTCGCACGCGCTGGACTGCTCTGCGGATGCTGTAGTTAAATGGATATCCATGTAAATCCAAAGGAACGTGAGCAGCTGTGCTGATTTAACTGCCCTTTTTATTAGGTAAGGAAGCGTTTCTGTTCTGAGCCATGGGCTGAGCGGGTTGCTTTTGCTTTCACTGGGTTGTGCTGTGCTTCGTGATGGGGTTTAGTGTCCTGGTAAAAGGAGCATCTCGTGGGATCCCAGCTGGGACAGACAGGAAAACCTCGGACCCATTGCTCATTGAAGACTATCCTAAGATGAAATCCTTGTCTTCCTTAATAGCCAGGCAGCCCAGGCTAACCGTGCTGGACGTTAGCACCCAGGTTTCTAACACCCACAGTGTCAGCACTGCCTAAGCCATGGGCAGGACTCACGCAGTGCTCCTTGTCTGTCCATGCAGGGAGCACCATGATGATAGTGATGGAGTACATGGGGAACGGTGTGCTGGACTCTTTTCTCAGGGTGAGTGCTGTGGGAGCTGGTGGGAGCTGGGTCTGTCACCCTCCTGGGCTCTGCTGGGGGGGGTCTCTTGATGGGGGCATTGCTCACCTTTGGCTTTTCCTCCTCTCATCCTCCAGAAACACGAGGGGCAGTTCACGGCCACCCAGCTGGTTTGCATGCTGCAGGGGATTGCCTCTGGCATGAAGTACCTGGCAGAGATGGGTTACATCCATAAAAACCTGGCTGCCCACAAAGTCCTCGTGAACAGCAGCCTGGCTTGCAAAATAACCGGCTTCCGACGGCCACAGGAGGATAAGATGGAGACCATCTTCTCCACGATGGTAAGCTGTCATTCCAGGCTCCGTTGGTGATGTTCCCTGAAGGCAGAGTGCTGTCAGAACAGCTGCAGAGGTGGATCTCCCTGCCTGCAATACATGGCTGTGGCCAGGAGTGCTTGGACAGAGGACACAGGGCTTTGCAGCCTGCTCTGAATGCTGAATAAGGACCAAATCCAAAGCCAGCCAGCTTCCACAGGTGGAGTTCATAAAACATACAGCAATTCCACTCCAGAACCGCTATTTTCCTAGGCTCCCACTTCCTTCCTCATGTATGGATGCTGGCTCTGCATCTAAACAGCTTCTTTCTCAGCTAGAAAACAAAAGCATTTAGGCAGGAACTGCATGGATCTGCCCGGCTCTGCTCTTCCCATCCTCTGGCCACAGCCCTGCTGCCTGTCTGTGTGAACAGGCAGAGGCACTGGGTGGCTGGAGGCAGCCCTGGCAGCCTCAGGGTCCCTCCTGTTTCATCATTGGAATGAAATTCATGGCTTTCAATTAAGAATCCAAGTCCTGCTTGGTTCACACTTGTGCCAGGCACTGCAGGTCCTGAGTGACTGTGAGCCCCTGGGCATGGACCCCATGGATCCCCCCCACAGGCAACCCCTCGCTGGAGCCACCTCTCCATCCCTGCTTCTTTCACACCCCTCTTTTGAGGGTGCATCAATGCGTTTTGAACCGCAGAGCAATCGGGTGTATTTCAGTTGGTACCAGCTGGGGCACCAAGGTTGGTGCCTTGCCTTAACCAGGCATTCATGTAGGAAAGAGCATCAATTCCTCAAGCAAATGAGCACTTATTGCTTGCAGGGAGCATTGGGCAGCCCCAAGGAGGCAGCAGCTCAAGTGTGCTGGGTTTGGAGCTGAGCGAGGGCGATGGAGAGCTCAGCAGGAGCCCTGGCTTCGCCCACCACGGTGCAGTGGGGCTGTGGCTTTGGGTCAGGGTCTCCCTGCAGTTAATGACAACTGGCTGTGGTCTGTGACCTGCTGCCAGTAGTGCAACCAGAGGGCTCTGCAGACAGCGAGACAGGGATTGCAAACAGCAGGAGAACAAGCCAGGATGGAGGGGCTGTGTTTGCACAGCGCTGAAGCCGTTCTCATGAAATATTGAGGTATAAAATGCCATTAGCTCTTCCCAGAGACGTTCTCCTTACCCATTAATATTTTAGGACTTGCATACAGCGGCATGACTGTTTCCGAATACATCGAGGCTAAAGTTTCCTGTTAGTACTAAACCTACACATGGCTCGTGGGCTGCTCGGTGTCTGCCCTGTGATGCTGGGCAGGCCGTGATGAAGAGCTACATCCTGCTCATCATTTCTCCCCTTCTCCCCATGCAGCGTGGGAAGAGCCTGGTGCTGTGGTCAGCCCCCGAAGCCATCCAGTATCACCACTTCAGTCCGGCCAGCGACGTGTGGAGCTTCGGCATCGTCATGTGGGAGGTCATGTCCTACGGCGAGAGACCCTACTGGGACATGTCCAACCAGGACGTGAGTGCCTGCGGGGTAAATGATGGTGTTGCCATTGCTGATGGTGTGCAGGAGGCTCCGTGGGGTGCGGAGGAGCTGCCGCTGCTCTGATGTGGGGTATGGGTGCCCCTGGGGTTTGCCTTTGCTCTGGTCCCATCTCCTCACCTCCTGCTCCCTTGCGATGAAGGTGATGAAGGCTGTGGAGGACGGGTTCCGCCTGCCCGCCCCGGTGAACTGCCAGCCCCCCCTGCACCAGCTCATGCTCGACTGCTGGCAGAAGGACCGCAGCCAGAGACCCAAGTTCTCGCACATCCACAGCATCCTCAGCAAGCTGGTGCAGAGCCCGGAGCCCCCAAAGTGCCCCAGCTCCACGTGCACCAGGTGAGCATCCTCCTGCTTTGCTGCCTCCTCCTTTGCCTGCCAGGTCCCACCTCAGGCGTGTCACGTCCTCCGTCCTCACCACCCTGTTGTGTTGGCAGGTCCCACAGCACCTCCATCCCCCTCACCGAGCGAACCTTCTCAGCCTTCCCATCTTTCAGCTCCGTAGGCGAGTGGCTGGAAGCGATAGAAATGGGCAGGTACAAAGACAACTTCACCGCTGCGGGCTACTGCTACCTGGAGTCGGTGGCCAGGATGACAGCCCAGTAAGTGGCTATAACCTGGCTATAACCTTGTGTCGCTGGGTGCAGCGTGAGTGAGCTCTGCTCTGCACTTAGGCATCACTAAACGAGAGGACAGCTCTTCCAAAACCTGTCTCTAAGAGCTCACTGGTGGGGCTGGCTGCATGTTGGAACAAGTCCAGAGGAGGCCATGAGGATGATGAGGGACTGGAGCACCTCCTGTATGAAGGCAGGCTGAGAAAGTTGGGGCTGTTCAGCCTGGAGAAGAGAAGCTGCGTGGAGACCTCAGAGCAGCCTTCCAGTATCTGAAGGGGGCTATAGGGATGCTGGGGAGGGACTCTTCATTAGGGACTGCAGTGACAGAACAAGGGGTAATGAGTTCAAACTGAAACAAGGGAAGTTTAGATTGGATATAAGGAGGAAATTCTTTCCTGTGAGGGTGCTGAAGCACTGGAATGGGTTGCCCAGGGAGGTTGTGAATGCTCCATCCCTGACAGTGTTCAAGGCCAGGTTGGATGAAGCCTTGGGGTGGCATGGTTTAGTGTGAGGCGTCCCTGCCCATGGCAGGGGGGTTGGAACTGGATGATCTTAAGGTCCTTTCCAACCCTGACTCTTCTATGATTCTATGTGTTGTGCATCTCAGTTGCTGTTGCCTTTCCTTTCCCCAAAGCAGAGTTGAATCTAATGTAGTTTACTGATTCTATGCTATGTGGACAGCGCCGGGTGGCAGGGATGGGAGCTATCTGCTGTGTGTGCTGCAGGCTTGTGTTAGCCCTGCATCCCTGGGACAACAGGTTGGGGCTTTCTCACTGTGGCAGGTCTGAAGCCTGCCCTGCCCTTGATGGGAGCTGTTGGTGTTGGGGCGTTTCAGAGCTGAGGCTTGTTTTCCATGGCGGCAGGGACATCCTCAGCCTGGGCATCACGCTGGCGGAGCACCAGAGCACCATCCTGAGCGGGATCCAGACCCTGCGGGCGCAGGTGATCCAGATGCATGGCCGAGGCGTGCAGGTGTGAAGCGGAGCCCCACAGCGGTGCAGAGCCCTGAGCCGGGGAGCAGGCAGCCACCCGGCCCCACACCGGACCAGAGGTGGGATGTAGGGGTCACTGAGCTGCTGCCAAGCCAGCGGGGCAGGAGCGCAGGGCGTCAGGAAGCCAAGGATTCCCGGGATGCGTGCCTCGGTGGATGTGGCTCTCCCTGGCACTGTGGTGTGTGATGAGTCGAACTGATGATGCCATTTCACACGGTGATTGGGTTAACAGGGTGGATGGACCTTTGTGCACTGCCGAAATCCAGAGCTGGCAGCGCTTTCGTACCTAGCATCCTACTGGTGAGATCCATGGGTGTTTTTATACGAGCTGACACGTTCCGGCAACCCCACAAGGAGCTTTTTATTGCTTTTCTTTTTAGAGACCGGAGCACAGCTCCCACCCAGCGCCCATCTTCTGGAAGGTGACTTTCCCCATCTGCTATGCTGAAGGCAACTCTTCCCCAGCCACCTCCCTTCTGCTCTGAGTTGCTTCCCTGTGTCTTGACGCCAAGGTTGGTGGGCAGAACCAAAACACTCTTCACTAACGGGCAGAGCAAATGGTGCTGAATGTCTCTGAGGCTCTCTTGTCGAGACAATTGCAAGGGAAGAAATGAAAGGCTTGGTGATGGCTCCCTTCATCAAAGAGAGGTGAAGCAGTGGAGCCCTTGGACTGCCCTGCTGATGCTCTCAGCCTTTTGTGCAGGTCCCAGCTCCCCTGGAGCCCAGCAGTGGGGTGGGAGCTCACAGACCAGAGCAGCAGCAGGCAGCACGCCTGCCGTGTTATGAATAGCACTAATTCAACCCGCAGCAGCAGCAGGAGCATCCCAGTTCAGGCAGAAATGGGATGGAAAGCCAGGAACTGCTCTGAGGTCAGAGAGACATCAGGCAAGGCTGTGCTTTGGGAGGGATGCTTCCCATGTCCTCACTGCGGTGTACCCCTGGCCACTGGAAGGGATGCGTTAGCTGTGGTGAGTGCTCTTCCCTTCCTCCTCCAGTTGCCCCATTCCTGGCTGGGAGCAGGGAATGCCTGGCTCTGCTGTGCATGTTTTCCAACCTCACATCAATGGCTGGGCAGAGGTCCACGGCTGAGGGCTGCAGTGCCAGCACTCCCCACAGCACCCACGGTGGGTTGCACCCCATTCTCTGGGTGTCCCTCTGCTTGCTGGAGGGACCACGCACCCCAGGGGGGCAGAACGGATCCTTGCATCCATGGGGTCCGTGGAACCCTGCTGTGCAACCCAGGCAAACCAGGGCACATCAGCACTTTATTCGTTGCAGCGGGAGCGCAGTACTGCCTGCCCTGCACGCTGCCAGTTCCCACTGCTGCGGGCCTGATCCCTGACGGAAGACATAAATATCATCTACTTAATAATACATGTTTCCTTGAAGTTAGTTAATTAAATGGGTCTTTGCAGCTTTGTACGGAGTTTTGTAGGCCTTTTATTGCCATCTGTAAGTATTGCAAGTGAATTATTGATGACGAAAGGCAAAGATTTACAAAGGGAATGGATGCTGGGGGAGATGCTCACAGCACGGCTGGAAAACTGTTGGAGTCGGATCCTCCAATTAGCCTGCTCTGAGAGGATGAGGAGCTAAATGATGGTTGAGAGAAAGGCTTTAAGTGTTGGCACAGGCGTCTTGGTTCCCTCCTGGTCAGGCAGAGCAGCGTGACCATAGGCACTGGTGGCAGCGGTGCACGAGCTCTCTCCTTCCTTTCCCCTCTGCACTTTAAGCAACGCTCCCCAGTGTCACTTGGTTGGTTTTACAGCAGAAATAACTCCTCTTTAGGTTTGCCCCTTGCCCTGTCTGGTTGGTCGCTCTCCATCCCACTGTTCCACACCCAGAAGAGTAACAATGGAGAGCCGAAACCTTCATTTGGTAGAGATGCCAGATCCCAAGGATCAAGTGCAATTTGTATGCCCTTTATGTTTACATTTTATCGATAGAGGAAGTCTATTCTAGTTCTCTAGGCAGGGAGCTGAACCAACTTGATTCTGGATCCTCACCCCCATCTCCCTGCTCTGGTCCTGTCCATTGGGATCTCTACCCTGGGCTGGGATGCAGGGAGCCGTGCTGGGAAGTCACTGCTGGATAGGCTTGCGCCATGAAAGCTCCATGCAGCTGCCTTCAGGAAGGTGCCCGGCACCCCATGGCTTTGTGACAAGGTGATGGAGTGCTCAGGGTCTGGGAAATGGACTTATCCAGACTCATGGCTCTGAGTCCCTTGGGAAGCTGCTGTGGCCATGCAGGCAGGGGTACCTGCTCTCCCAGGGGAGATGGGCTCTGCATGGGGCTGGCAGCCCCACAGTTTCCCTTGTGTGGAATCATGGAATAGTTTGGGTTGGAAAGGACCTCGAGATCATCCCATTCCAACCCCCCCTGTGTGGTTGGACAGTGCTAGAATAGCGCAAGTAAAACTGAGACCATCTTTCAATCATTGCTATAGCGTTTCCCCCACTGAATCAGGCTCCCTCCTTTCCCCAGCATAATCAGACCTGAAGGTGTAATTTCTTTGTCTGTGTCTCTCTGGCTCTTCTCAAAAGGCATTCAGTGTTTAATTACTTCTCTGACTTATTCTGCTGGGAGCCTTGGATGTGGTCTGTGGATGGGGGCGTGCTCTAAATCAGCAGAAACCAGAGGTGTCTGCTTCGCTGGCCTCTCCTTCAAGAAAGAAAAGGAAAAGCACCTGATGGAAGCCTGCTTTCTAGCCTAGCTTGTAGCAATAAACACTTCTAATTGAGCTCCTCATCGACACTGGAGGTAATAAAATGAGCAGATTAAGCTGGAGATTGTTGTTATGATTTTAGAATTAACTTGCAGCCTCCCAGCACCTCTCTTTGGGGAAGCATTCAATGCCTTATAATTAAATTAATTAGCAGCACTGTTTTGAAGCTGTTTGACCGAGGGAAATGCCTCACAATGAGCGTGGTCTCTTTGGCCATCCAGCCTCTGAGATGGCACAAGGCTCCATCCTCCTCCCCTTGGCGTGGGGAAGCCCTCATCACATCGGTGCTAGTAAGGGCTCAGGGCAGGCTGACCGCACTCTACCAGTGCAGCAGCATTAGTGTTAATGGGCTTGTTCAGAGAAGAGAGCAACGAGTGTTCTGTAGTCTGTGGGCTTTGCTGGAGCTGATAAATGCAGTTACATGAGGATATGGTTTTAGATGCTCAGGCAGAGCGGAGGCCAGGTGTGAATCAGAGGAGCAGAGCAAACGTTGTGTCTCAGCTCGTGTGTAGCCAGGACCATTGGCTGTCCTTGCACAGTGGGTGCAAGGAAAGCAATCCTGATCCCAGCAAAGTCCTGTTGGCTGTTGGTGCCTCGGATTGCAAAGCAGGATGCAGTTCCCATCATTGGAAGAGCAGCGCAGCAGCATTGCTGTCAGCAGCCAAAAGGCTGGGGGCTTTTGGAGGGGCAGTGACATGGACAAGGGGAATGGCTTTAACAGAGGGGAGACTGAGATGAGCTCTGAGGCAGAAGCTCTTCCCTGGGAGGGTGCTGAGGTGCTGGCACAGGGTGCCCAGAGAAGCTGTGGCTGCCCCATCCCTGGCAGTGCTCAAGGCCAGGTTGGACATGGGCTTGGAGCATCACCGGAACCCTGCAACACCCCCCTTGCATGAAAGCAAAGCTGGAATCAAGTTGGTTCATCTCCAGATGCTTTTTGATATTCATTAAGCACGTGTTATATACTGTAAATACATACTTGAGAAGGCAATATCTATTTTTCTAAGCTTGAAAGAAATGTAATATAATATCATAAGGGACACTGTGTGCATTTCATGTTTGAGCTATAGTCAGACATCTCCAGGGAATCACAGTTGGTTTTGAGTAATAATAATAATAATAATAAATGGTGATAAAGATCTATAGACAATTTTTGTTAATTTTGTATTTATTGAACTACGGTTGAAGTTTGCAATAACGAAATATCCAAATACCTAAGTAAAGCCAACCACTCATTCTGCCCCGGCTTGTCTGTGTGGGTCCTTTCAGGTGTTCTGATGCAAAGTTCCACTGTAACAAGGGGGGTAAGGGTCAGGTAAGGAATGGTTTTAGGAGCAGCAAGGTGTGAAAGGATGCACTGTTTCATTGACTAGCCCGTGTGCTAAGATGGGGACTGACTGCTCCTGCTGTGGAGGTGGAGCTCAGGATGGTGGCTTCTTGCTGTTAACACTTTGTTAGGGGGGGAAACCATTGTTTAACTAGTACAGCATGTGTGTTTTGTGGACATAAAGGTCCATTGGTTGGCCTGATGCTTTCGGCACAGGCAGGAATCCCTGCCATCACCCGGAGGACCAGATAACCTTGGAAGTGCTCCCAGCATGGAGCTGTCAATAGCAGCGCAGTTGTCACTCTAACAGACGTGTTGCAGTGTTTAGCACAGGGATGCTGCTGAGCAGAGGGAAAACACCGCAGAGGTCCTGTGCTTGAGGCATGCCACTGATTGCCTGAGTAAATGGAAGCAGGGTATGGCCAGCATGTGAAATGCAAACAGTGCACAAGCAATACTGAGCAACAGTTCAATGCAACGCCCAGGACTTCACAGTTCTTCTCTTTTCCTCCGGGTGCTTGACGCCGAAGTGCAGGTACAAAGGTCTCGGTTTGGGAGGCTGACGACAGTGACAGCTGCTGGGGAAAGGGAACTGAATGGGTGCTTAAAATGGGTGCAGCCTATTTGCCTTCTGTCGATCAATTAATTCAGCCAGCTTGCACTAGGAGCCTGGCCAGGGCTCTATTGGCACTAGGAAGAAATAATGAGAGCTCTGAAGCAGGGTTATGAATAGTGGATTGCGACTCGCAGCCAAGCAGATGGATTCTGTGCCCTGATTTATCTGTGCTTGTGGGTGATGGGTTTACCTCCCTTCTCTGACCTTCCTGGGGGCGGTGGGACACCTCCTTTCATGGCTGTAATGGGGTGTGCTGGGGACGCCCAGCATAGGTTGCAGTGGAGGACATGGGGGTCTCCAGCTGCAGACATCGCCTGTCTTGAGGGCTGGTGGGCAGGCAGGAGTGATGGCATCACCACAGCGCTGTTGTGGTGATGCATTGCACAGGCTGACCTTGAAGCTGCTGGTGCCGTGGAACAGGATATGTCCTGCAGGATGGACCAGGGAAAACTTCTCTGTGTGGAATTCTACTTCCCTGATCTGAAGTGGCCCAGGCCAGGTTGGACACAGGGGCTTGGAGCAAGCTGCTCCAGTGGAAGGTGGCCCTGCCCGTGGCAGGGGTTGGAGCTGGAGGAGCTTTAAGGACCCTTCAATACAAACCAGGCTGGGATTCGATGAACATTACAGCTTGGTCTGGAACTGTGCGCGTGTCTTCTGTACCCAGCAATGGACTTCCCAGCTTCTGACACATGCGGTGCCTTTGAAGAACAAATCTAGCTCTGGAAAATGTCTGGGAAATCATAGCAAACAGCGTGGTTATCACCCTGTGCATGGCCAGCCCACGGCTCAGAGGTGCTGGTGCCAGCTCCTGCCCCTGGAGAGCTTCCCACCACCAGCCCTGCATCCCTGGGCTGATGGAGAGCCCGCTGTAGGGCAGGGTGTTGCTCTCTGGTACCAAAGGAGGAACCAAGAAGCAGTAAAACACAGGATGCAGCAGGCATCAGTCATGG